AAAGACCTGATATCAATAGCATGGTTGATATGGCCTTTGCCCAGGTGCATATTGATAAGAATTTTTGGATCAGGAATGAAAAGATAAGAGAATTCCTGCTGTCCTTGATATTTAACGAAGGCCTGACTCCTGATACCATACTGAGTCCTAAGGACGACAGATGGAAGCCACTTGGAGGAGGGAGATTGTTACATTTGTGATTTACTGGGCTGTACTCTAAATGGACTGAATCTAGAATCTGCACTTTACATAGCACTTCCCATTGTATTTATAAACTCTGAAGTTGAAGGACTACTACTTTAAAGACACCAGACGAATCAGGAAGTGGACTCTGCCCCCTGACAAGTTTTAGTGGAACTAAGACATGAAAACATTAGCACGTGATGCAATAAGCACCCTAGGAGGTTCAGAGAGAGGATTATAGGAGGCTTGGGGTTGGGCGGGAAGATCTGGGCTCAGCCTGACAAGGTGTGTTCACCTGTTGAAGAAGAGAAGAAGCTGGCATGAATGTGGGCCTGGAGATGAAGAGGACAGAGGAAGCCTTCCTGCCTTGTTTTTTCTGAAAGGTGGAAGACCCAGTGAGAGACTTTAAGCATACATGATCCTTTTGGTCATGGAAAGATCTGCTACCATCCCTGCCAAGGATGAATTTAAAGGACCACGACTCCATAAGAAGCTACTGCCACGAAAGACACAGGAAGTGATAAAGGCAGTCTGCAGGGGCAGGAAAGGCAGGATTCAAAGGACACTTGGGAACTAGAAGTACCAAGACTTGCCAATTAGATAAGTCCAAGTCAGAGAAAGGAGTCTGAACTGATTCTCAGCTCATGTCAGTCCCATGTGAATGGGTGACTATAACCCCCGTTGTATATTCAGGGAAAATATCCTTCACATGGTCACCTAATCGAGAGAGCAATAGTGAAAGTCTTAGAAAATTGCTCTGAAGACCCAAGAGAGGCCACCCAGCTGGGGCAGAGCAGGGTGAGGAGAGAGACTGTGATCAGTCAGGGGTCTAAGGGCACACTCCATGCTGAAAAAGGAACTTGTTAACCAAATCAAATGGGTGGAACCAGCCAGCAGGGAACACTGTGGTTTTGTTGAAAGACACCCTTGAGTCTTTGCCAACCCCTAGTGTTATGAATTTCTCTCTCTGCTCTTTTACCAATGGCCTCGTGGGTTCAAAAGAGGTCATTAGATATAAAGAAAGATTGTTAGAAATCTATTTTTTTTTAAATCTCATCTCTTATTTCTGTTTTTGTTTATATTTTTAAATAGATACCATATATTTATATGGTAATATGTGCTGTTGTGAAGTTTATTTGCATGAAGAACAAGCTAAGAATCAGGCAAAACAGAATTGGAGGAGGCTCAGAGAGTTCTGGGCACTGCTGGAGCCAGCTCTGCTGTACTAGGCTGGGCTAGGAAGACAGAGAAAGTACATTGAACTAGTCAGAGTGGTTAGACCAGCCCGAGTGGAAAGGTCCTAGCCAGAAGTTAGCTGGCAGTTCTGACTGGCAAAGTCTCTAGTTACAAGTCACAAGGAGCTAGTAGTTCTGGTTGTAAAGTTTTTAGCCAAGAAATTGAGACGGTCATCATTTTACCTACGTAGAAACCCAGACATCTAGAGCCATCACAAGCTACTGGCCTTGAGTTAAAATGTATAATTGTAGGATTCATTAATAAATATTCACATATTAGGGGTGCATCCTCAGATATCAAAATCAGGAAAAGAGACTCCAGGAGAAGGATGAAACAAGCACAGTTCTTAGTCCCCACTTTTCTAAGATCATTGGCATCTTCCAGGTTTTATCCATTAGTAAAAACTTCACATAGCAAAACCTCCTGGAAGCGATTCAGGTACCTTATATTTTCCTAATGTAAATGCATTTCTAGAATCTTAGAAGCTCAGAGGCTGAAAAACTCTTTGATGTCAGCCAGAGAGTTTATTGCTTCCCTGAGAGGAAGAAAGCACGGTAAAGGAAGGAGGCTGAGGTCAGCAGAGCTTGGGCAGAGGAGAGCAAAGAAAACCACCCTTTTTTCACACATTGACTGGAAGCCAGCCTGCACTGAGCAGGTGGCAATGTTTCTTGCGTGAGCCTGAGTTTGAGGTGAGGAAGGGGAAGTGGGGCAGGGACTGCTAAAGTCAAAGAAAATAAGCAGAATCTATTTCTTCTCTCCTCTCCTACATAATTCATTCTCATCTTAATTATCAAAGTGTCTGGGAATAGAGAGGTTTTTGACAGCAGACAATAGCTCACTCAAGGAATATACATCTTTGACGAGTTGTGATCAGTTTGCCATTTACTTAAAAATAAAGCTCGTGACAACTGAACAGGGTGATGGCCGGCTTTTAGAAGGCTATAGATTCATTTGAACTTCATCTGCTGCTCTTTAATCTTGGCAGAGGCCAAAGCCATTTAGGCTGCCAAATTCACTCCCTTGCTGAGCCAGCAGGGATGTCTCCCTCCATCCGTCCTCGCACTCTGCCCAGAATCCAGAGCAAAGGGCACCAACAGGACTGTGCTGAAGGCCGACTCAAGGCCAATTGTTTTCATTCCCAAATGCATTCTGGTGACTGAGGAAGTCACCAGAAGCTTTAAACTGCAGAGCAGAGCTAATGTGGCTGCCACGACCAGGTTATCATTGCTGGAAAGGAGGCTGTGTTAGCCATTGGTTTTATGATGTGGCTTTCTTCTTTAACAACCACAATGTTAGCTTTGTCATTTTTTTAATTGTAGAGAAATGTTATTGCTAAAATGAAAGAAAGATAGTAAATGCAGTGTATAATGTAAGAAAAGAGAAGCAAACATCTTGACAGACAGGCACAAAGAGGCCAGCGCCTCCAAGCAGATGTTTTGCTGATCAGATGGATTTCAGAAAGATTTCTCAACTGGGTGCATTGAGGTGAGGGTAAATAACATGAGGTTGCAAGAGGAATTTGGCTGGGTATAGAGGCACAAATCCTGATATCTAGTACTAGGACTAGTACTGGGAGTGGTGAGCTCAGAGTAAACTGACTGTCTCCACCTCCACTAAACCCCCACCTTCACTCACTAATTCTACATAGTTTAGTTTCCTTGTGTAACACAATAGGGCAGCACAGGATCAGGGAGTAATAACGTAGTATTCGTGTACACAAAGAAGGAGCCATTCACTAACAGGTTCATCATTTTCCTAAAATTACTCTGATGTGGGTGAGGGGAAATCCTGAACATTTAATAAAAGATCCAGAAGCACTGAGGTGTTAGCTAGGATTCTGTAACAGATGTAAGGTCTAATATTTTATTAGAAACCTTTGAGTGATTTTATTTTTATTTAATTATATAGGTTTCCCTGTAACTTACGAAAGCCTCTAGTGAGGGGTAGTCATAAAAATCTCATATTCAAATAATGATGCAATTCCACATTATTAGTTTCCTTTAAAAATATAATGCAAGTAATTTTTTCTGACTTCAACTTTGGTTAACACCATTTCAAGAAGGATTATATGTGAAGAAAACATGTCCTTGGTATGTAATGAAGGAAAAAATGCACTGTTATATGGTGACCTAAACCTTTTATGTTAGAGATGTCTCTTTGCTGCAGTACTAGGGAACAAAGACCATGCTCAGCAGTCACGCTGTTAACATCCCAGAAAATGTCAGCATCACTCAGTTCCCGCAAAGAGCTCCAGGGACTTCATCTCATCAGCATAGATCTCAGTCTCCTTAGAAAAGAAACGAGGGAGGCTCTGAGTTGATGGGGGACCGTGATGGGGGAATAGAGAGGAAGTGGTTCTCTCTCACACTGTGGGTTCGAGGACAGCACACAATGGAAGGTGTTACTCCGGGTTTCCGCTACGTGAAGAGCCCTGTGCTCACTTCTCCGTTGATGACATTATTAGGAGAATGAGTCTACCATTGAAATCCCAAGTTTCTTGAGTGAAAAATGTATGTATGTGTGTGGTTGAAGCCAGGTGTCATTTGTTCAAATATTTCAAGTCCAAAGCATCATGTTAATCCTTGAAGGAAATGATATTGAACTTGTTCAAATTTGAGGCTTTGATTCAACCAAGTCCCAACTGTAAAAGAAAAAAACAAAGATATCTGAAAATATTTTTGGACCGTGTCTATGTCTCTGAAAAACAACAGCTCAACAAGCTAGTAAGTGAGATATAAGAGTTGTCCAGCTACAGAAACAAGCTCCTGGATAGCAAAGCCAACTTGTGGTTTTTTTTAGTAATGCAATGAAAGTCCTTAGTCCACATACATAGTGTGTGCCTGACAGACTTGCACTCAAAGTAATGCTGCTGCTTTTATTTGTTATAAACCCTATAACACAGAGGCAACAGGGGACTCAACTGGAATCACCATCGTGGTGGTACACGTGTTACCAAATAGTAGATCCTTTCACATATTTTCCTTTCTGAATAAATATTTTATAAAACTAGAGAAACATGGATGCAATAAGGAGATATTATTATTAAGCAATAAGGAGATAATTTAAAAATAAGATAGATAGCCAGAAGTTTAGCTTAGCAGTGTAAACACCTGCCTGGCAAGCATGAGTTCACTCCCCAGTATAAAAAAAAAAGATAGATCTGAGGGAACATCTATAATTCAACTTATTCAGGAATATGCCGTTGCTAAACTAGCTGCAGGATATTGTACTTTTCAAGCCCTTTCAGACACTATCTGTATAACTACAAAGGCATCAAGTAAAACACTCAATTTTTAAATTAAAACTTTCTAAATATTTTTTTCTGTGCCATATTAGAAAGCAATTTTTTTTTAAACTTTCCTTTTTTCAGGGAAGGGGATACTGGGGAACTCATAATCTTGCACTTGGCAGGTAGGCGCTTATGCCACTGAGCTAAATCCCCAACCCATGAAGCAAAATTTTGAAGAGACATATATACTTTCAACATATAGGGGCTCAGGGATATAAATTTCTGGGTTCTTCTTCCCTTTTCTAAGACAATTATATGAAAAGATAACAAACCAAGTAGCTGTTTTTGGCCTTCAATATTTTATTTTGATTTCTATAAAGTGACTTTTGCATGCTAGGAATCAAAAATTGACAAGTCATAGTCCCCACCCTCAGTAGTTTGAGATCTGGTGTGTAAGACAAGCAGGTCACCAATAGTTACCCAGGCTTACTGGGACTGAGTTCAGAAGGAGGTGCACCTACTCTGGGCTTTGCTGCAAGAGTCAGAGTTAACAATGGAAGAGAAGACTGGATGTACAGTCAGGAGTGCAGGGCACGTTCCTTATTGGGTGAATTATTTTGTTTGGGGCATCAAAGGGATGTTGATGGAGGGGAGAAGAGACAAGTAATTCCAAACTCAAACTAGGATTCCTTCAAGGACAGGATCAAGTGTCCTCAACTCCCCTGCCCCTCTGCAGTACTAATTACTTCTTCCTGTGCATGTCCATTGAGCTTAACACTCTTCACAGTGTGGCGTGATGGTCTCAGAAGTGGTTATAACACAGACCTGGTTGCAGTAAAAGAGATCAACAAGATTAATGTTTTTAAAGTTAACTTCCCCTCTTCCCCTGTCTCATAACCATCAAGCAAAATTCAGAGATGGGAAGGCTATTCCTGGGGCAGGGCTGAGTCTCGTCCTGTGTCCTGGCTCTCCTATCCTTAGAGCATTGCTGTGGTCACTGATGGACCAGGATGACTCAGCCCGCACAGCAGGCACTGTGGCCAGCAGGGAGAAGATAGCACGATACCACCTCTTTAAGGGCATCCCAAGAGGCCACATAAGTCACTTCTGCTGAGATCCCATTGGCCAGAGCTTAGTTGTATGGTCACATCCAGTTGTGTGCCTACTGAAAAGCCAGAGATTTCTTACAGTAGAACAAGTGTTAGCATTATTTTTTTTAGATGGACAGATAGGAAATATTTAAACCATCTACAGTCCTATCATGTCACTGTCGGCATTCCTCTTTTGCTCTTAGTTCTTATTCTGTTCATTCTTTAGTGTATTTTATTGCTTTTTAAAAGTATAAAACCCCATTCTTATTTTGAGAGTTATATGAAACAGGACAGGCACCGAATTTGGTATGTAGACCATAATTGGTGTCTTAGTCATTTTTTGCCACTAGGACAAAATACTCAACACCCACAATTTAAAGGAGAAAAGGTTTATTTTGGCTCACATTTCCAGTCCACGCTTGGCTGGTTCCAAAGTAGAAAGACATGGTAGGAGTGGCCAGGCAGAGGAAAGCCGCTCAAATCAGAGTGGCCTGGAAGCAGAGAGAAAAGGGCGGAACCCAAGAGGTCCACTCCCAGAGACACACCTCTTCCAAACAGCTCCATCTTCTAACAGCAAGTCAAGTAGATGGCCCCCATGATTCCTCACCTTCTAGAAGCTCCACTTCTGACTGCCTGAGGCTCTCAGCCCACCCTCTCCGTCAAACCACAGTGTTGACAAATCCCTGTTGGGAATGAAAAGAAAAGTCTTACTCGGAGGGGAGTGGGACTCCAACACTTTTGCGAGATCATAAACCACTAACAGAAGAGCTTGTTTAATTCACCTTTCTAGTTTCAACACAGTGATTCATAGAGCAGATGGCTAATGTTTATGATGAGTGAATGCTTGTATGTATGCAAGCTTAAAAGAGAAGAAGCGGGGGCTGGGGATTTAGCTCAGCGGCATAAGCACCTGCCTTGCAAGCAGGTGGTCGTGAGTTCAATCCCTGGTACCGATAAAAATGAAAAAGACAAAAAAAAAAAAAAGAGAAGAAGGAAGTAAAAGAGAGAAATTTGATAACTACAGTTTGATAAAATTCCATTTACTCCCAGTGGAAGTGTCTTAACACAGATTGTCTTCTGTATACTCCATTTTCCAAGATAAAATTTGAAGACCTAATGGCGAGTCCCGCCTTTGCATACATCTCCTTCGGTTATAAAATCAGGCACCCCCGTCACCTCCAGACCAAAGTTATTTAGTCCCAAATATGCTGCATGTGCAGGAGCACTTTATTCATGTATCATCTCTGCTTGACCTCCGCTGAGTGTGCGGCAGATCCCAGGACCACAGGCTCCGCGAGTTCCCCTCCTGGAACAGCACAGCAGCCAGCAGAAGCACTCTGCTTTGCCTTTTTGAATATCACATGTTTGGTGGGAAAGTCAGCAGAAGTGTGCAGGCTGAATGGACACATTTTAGTTCCTTTCTTTCTCCTCCTTCTTACACAATATCCTGAGGCCATAACAGAACTTTTTCTTATTTAAGTCATCATGGTAGGGGAGGGAGGCATAGCTCACTTGACCATTTCCTGGACAAACCCCTGCCAACCATCAGAAAGGGCCATCATCCTTGGATTCTGAGTGCAGAGCAGATGCTGCAGCCAAAGATGCCGGCCCCCCAGGCTCTCACCCCAAGAACGCCCACTAAATGAGACCACCCTCCCAACTTCTTCTGCAGAACTCAGGTAACCACTCTGACAACATTTCTTCTTTCAAATAATTATTGAGCAGGAAAAAATGCCACCTCCAATATCTGGTAGACTGAATAACCCAAGGAAAGGCATGATCTGCTGTAAAACAGCAAACAGACCTCAGCTCCTAAACCTCATTTCATTGTAGCCAGAAGGATGACAAACAGATGTGTCTGCCACTTGCTCTGTCATAACTGAGGGGCTTCTCCTGCACTGCAACCTCCTGCACCACTGGGATTAAATGATGCCTTGCAACAAAACAGAGCCGGGGCCCCGCTGCTTCAAGGCTGGGTACAGATGATTTATTTCATCCTAGCATTTAACAAGTGTGTGTTTGTCCTTTTCATGAGGAAGAACTACTTTCAATTTCCCCCAAACTTTAAGCTCTGGCAAGGGACAGGAAGGGGGATGGTAATTCATGTGCCATTTTTACAGAGACTAAGGAAAGGGCCCACCCTGCTGCTAAACTGGCCTCAGAGATCTCGGCAAGCTGGAGACAGGACTGCCTATCGGCAGGGAAGCCTTTCAGAAAAAACAGAAATTTCAGCCATGGACCCTCTTGTTTGCATTACTGCTTCTTCTGAAAAATTTAGGACACTTTTTTCCCACTCTGAACCAGATGTCTAGTGAAATAAGGTATCATGAAAAAGGAGGGCCTCTAACTCTGCCTCCTATGAGCTGTGTTCCTATGGGAGAACAACATAACCGCTCTGTCTCCGATTTCTGATTTTAAAAATGGTTCTAATAGCAGGATGGACTTCATAGGGTCGTCATGAGAATAAAATTATACACACTTACTGCCTATTAAAATGTGACCCTGTGTTATTAATGTCTGCTTTTTGAAACAGGCATCAGAAACAAAGGGACTGCTTTGTGTAGAAAAGTAGATGAGTTTATCACCTCTGGATGGAAGCTGTGGCTGTGCTTTTTCTGTTCTTGCTATGAAACTACCAGGGAGGTTTAACGTAAACCAAAACATGTGCACTTACAAGCTGAGAGGCAAAAGTGAAGCAGTTTAAGGCCCTGAGAAATTAGTGACAAATGAAAGTGGAAGGGGAGAAGGACGAGGTTCTTTCCCATGAAACTGCATCTTTGAAAACGTGCGGCTAAAGGCCATCTTCAACACCCAAACAATCGTGGTGTATCCTGGAGACACTCTGGAAAAGCTGGTTTTCCGTTTCAAAGAGGAAAGGTTGCAAAACATATCCACTTCCCTCGGGAAAGCGCCTGGTTGTCATTTCTGTCCCTGTATCTACCAGTGAGCTCCAATTGTCCCCAGCTTCTAGTGCAAGGCAGAGACCCATCCCAGGACCTAGTCTGAACCGACTGATGCCTGGCAGAGTGGCCACACTGACATCTAGTGGTCGGAGCGCTTAGCGCAGGCGCTGTCCTCGAAGCTTTTACCAGCAGTGAGGTCCTCACAACCCCATTTTTTGTTACTTGCATCACATGTTAAAAGGAGAGGGCACGTTTCTAGGTAAATGGACGCCCCTGAGACCATGCTCTTAAGTGAAATAAACAGGACCGCATGCGTAAATACTGGATTGTTTCTCTGGGGCGAAAAACCGAAAGTGTAAATAAGGACCAAAATGTATCATGGATATTGTGAAACAGGAAGAAAATACTCAGGTAGGAAGGGGAATAGGGAAGGGGAAGGGGCAAAGCAAAGAAAACCAGGAAAAAGGAAGAAATGGAAATAAAGTTTTGTAAATAAGGAGAAGAGAGGTTAAAGGTAGGGAAGGGAATGGGGAAAAAAAGAAGAATCAAGTTATACATGTTCACGTACAAATTCCCTGTGATGAATGTGACCCTTATGTGTATCTAAAATGCACCAGTAGGGGCCAGGGATATAGCTCAGTGGCACAAGCGCCTGCCTGGCAAGTGTGAGGTCGTGAGTTCAATCACAGGTAACAAAATAAATTAATTAGTTTAATTAAATGCATCAATCATTAATTAACAAAAATAAAATGAGAGGACGGCCAGGGAACGTGGAAAAGGACCTGGCATCTGTGTGAGGTGTTGCCAGTGGCACCTTCTGGGGGTCACTTGAGGGCTGGAACGTGGCTCTCTGGCAGGTTTTTGCTACCATGGCTGTTAGGGCCGTGGCCAGGGCAGTGGCTTCAAACCGAGGTCTAATTGTGAAGAGGGGCTCGGCCATGCACTAGCTAAAGGGAATGAACACACCGAATAAAGCTGCCATGTACCATCTGTGAGAGAAAAAACACTCCGCTCCATGACTGAGTCTCCGAGTCCAAAAAACAGAGCTTACACTAATTTCTCCCTGAGTTTGTTAAGAGATGATGCCTGAAAGCTTCCAGAACAACCTCTGGCCCAGAAGCCAACCCACAAGGTTGTCTGTTCTTTCTTCCCCAGATTTATTTATAATTTAATAGTTCAGTTCCAAAATGAAAGTTACTTTTGGTGAAATCATGAAATTGCCTAACACGTGATAATAATACATGGCACTAGTTTTCTGAAACAACCGAGGGGCCGGTATTTACAGTAGATATTTATGAAGATGTGCCGTGATGTGGAGGTGTATGAGACAGACGACGTGAGCTAGGAAAGAGAGCTTATATTTCAGCAGAATAAGAGTGCCAAAATGTGAGACTCGGGTTTATAAATGCTTTCCAAAGGGGTTTGGAAAAGGGGCAGATGTGTTCTTTTTGTTTGTGTTTATTTTTCTTATGGTCCTGGGGATTGAACTCGGCTTTTGCACTGAGTATATCTGCAGCCTTTTTTCTTATTTTTTTTTTTTTTTTAATTTTGAGACAGGATCTCACTAAGTCGCTGAGTTAGCCAGGATGGGCTCAAACGTACTATCATCCTGCCTCAGCCTCACAGAGATTACAGGCAGGTGCCATTACCCCTGGGTGGAACAGACATGTTTCAAAACCTGAAGTTCTTTCCTCATGACTGAAGTCAAAAGTCTAAAACTTCCGTAGAGGAACAAATGATAACTTCCCCCGGCTCCTCTCAGTCAAGAAGCCTCATATTCCTGAGAGAGAAACCACTGCAATTAGAAATAATTGACAGGCTTTTTTTGAAAGAAGATTTCTTGTTGCTTAATCAATCTTTGTTTTACCCCACCTCATGCTTCGCAGTACCAGGGTGTTTCAGTAAAGGATCGTCATGAACCTTGGGCTCTCCATGTCTAGGGAATGAACCTAGTCCCCTGTTTAATACCCTTTTTCTTCCTTTCTCAGGCTTCTGCTCTTTGTCTGCCTTCTCTCAGCTTTGTGCTTTGCTCCTGACTGCATCAATGTCTCTGATTTTTAGACTGAATGTGAAATCATCCCAAAGGTAGCAGGATTTTATTCATTTTGATGTCCCAGTTTCCTCACAACCTCTTAATATCTGCAAAGACTGTGTTTCCCCCATTTCATAGCTCATATGTATTCCACTCTTCCATCTCATTTCAATTAATTCAATTTTCTCACTAGAGGAAAAAATTTGAGCAATAATTCTGAACTTCTTGCCCCCATAAAACATTTTAGTGTGGAAGACTATATTGACAGTATCATTCTTTTTGCAACAATTATCACTGCGTCTCCTCCTCGTTCTATTCAGGGTACTGAAGGACAGATCTTCCATTTCCACTGGGGATGTGAGGCTGTGTTGTTCCTCATAGAATGCACGTGGGACACCCTACCCTATGTTGCATACTCTGTTTTACATCCTAAGAAATTTGTGTTCAGTCCAGACATGAACCCAGAAATGAATCTTCTTTTCAAAACGCTCAGCTCACAAAGTCTGCAGTGGGTGGATGATGGCAAGCCTTGTCAATCATGAATGTTACACTGTATTTAGAAACCCAGGGAACTGATCTTAATAGCTGAAAGGTACCACTCCACAGCCTGAGGCCCTGGATCCCAGGGCTTCTTAGCATCACTGAGGCTCACAGACAGGTCTAGACACGCGAAAGAAGTCTACATACCTTTATAAAAAGATCTTTCAAGAATAAATATTAGAAGAACTAACTAGTAAGATCCATTCCAAGCCTAGCCTGTGACCAGAGGTGCATGGTAACAGTTCAAGTATAGCACTCTGTGTTCCTCTACTGCCTTCCTGTCACTGTCACTATTGCTACACAGATTGAAAAGGTCAGCGTGCCTTGTTTTTGGTGGTTGTAGAAGAATTCAGTGACTGTGTTATCTGGGCACTTGAGCTGATTTACAAGTTGCTGTATGTTAAGATGAGACAGTTTCCAAACTCACTGAGTACGTTAGAAACATCATAGAGCCATCTCACTGCCATGCTGCGACAGTATGATAACTCTGGGACTGTATTTAGAGGCAAGTAACATGGCTTAGGAACATGAGACTACTGCTGCTTGGTACTACCGGCTGCCTGTATTATTTGGTGTTTGAACTTGATGCCCCAAGGTTGCTAACGCAAGTCCAAAGGGTATGGTAGAGGAACACTGTTCTGATTTAGGTAACTCAGCAGGTGTTGGAGGTAAGGCAGTCTGGGAAGGAAATGTGCTGACTATAGGTTCTAAAGGACTAGGTTGGTAAATTGCATCTCTAGGATTAATAGCATTTGTGATTCCATCCACGTGCTTCTCTAGATTACTCTGATCTTTTGCAATCATAATGCAGTATTTAATTGATTCTACCAGCTTGTTTTCATTTTGACAGTTTCAATTTTCTTTTCTCTTCACTTATCAAAAAGTTTTGTCTATTAAGATTTCAATTATGAATCTTTGTATTTTACTTATCAAAGTCTTGGATGCTAGGAACAAATCCTGAATGTAAACCCCCAGGGGGTGATGGGAAAGAGGCAAAAGAACACATTTGCCCCTGTGTTCTGGTCCAGTCAGTGAACAGAGAGCTCTAGAACTCAGAGGTGGGGATTGGCCCCTCTTCTAGACCCTTGGGGTCTATGCACTCTTCAAAAAGCCAAAAAAAAAAAAAAAAAAAAAAAAAACAGGTCTTTGGCTGGATGGCACATGGCCCAGCCAGAGGTTCAGTCTGCCCCTTGGGACACAGTGTCACCCTTCCCCTGTCCCAGTCTCACCCTGACTAGCAGATGGATTCTTGGGACAACTGTTTCTTGGGGAGCAATTGCTGTAGAAGCTAATACCTATGCCACAGACAAAGCAACATGCATTGCATCTGCTGTTTGGCTATTATGAATAATGCTGCTATACGCATTAGCCTACGAGTTCCTCTTGGAGCCCTTTCTGTTACTTCTTTCGAGTGTGTAGCCAGAGCTGGAATTGCTGGATCGTACAGTAATTCTTAGTTCTTTGAGGAATTTCCACATTGTTTTTCATAGTAACTACATCATTTTATATTTCCACCAACAATGCATAAGTGCTTAAATGTCTCCAAATTCTTTTTTTTTTTTTTTTTTGTCTTTTTCCTTTTTATTGGTACCGGAGATCGAACTCACGACTGCCTGCTTGCAAGGCAGGCACTTATGCCGCTGAGCTAAATCCCCAGCCCCTTGAGCTAAATCCCCAGCCCTAATGTCTCCAAATTCTTGTCAATAGTTGTTATTTTCTCATTTTATGATAATAGTAACCCTAATATATGTGGTTTAAATTTTAATTAAAAGAAAATGTATTAAGTGATTCTTTGGTAATATTTTTATTCTTTCTAGAAACCACATAGCATTTAAAAGATCAAAAAATAGGAAAGAGTTTGGTGTATTTCACATTTCATTCTTATTCTTCGAGTGAACCATTGATGTCAACACTTGGTTTTGTTCTTTTATCCAGATTGAAATTATTTTATATGAGTGCATTGTCATCAATCTGGGTTTTGCCATGGGAAATCCCAAATCATAATCTCTTTTTTAGCCCTGTCATATCTTTTTATATCCCTTTTCAACTCTCCTCTAAGATTTAAACCAAAGCAAGAAAGACAACAAACACCATTCCATGCAGACAATGGATGAATCAAAATAGTGCTCAAGTCCTTGAACCCACGTTGGATGTCATGGCTGTCTCTAGTGGGCAGACTTTTGAAACCAGTTATGCTAAAAGAGACTGAATGTTGTCACCTACCTAGACACTCCTCTTTGACATGAACACATACTGACCAATCATGTAAAAAAGTAGGCAAAATTGTTGGTCTTAGCTGTTTGCCCTTTTCAAATAGCCAAACCTTGCAAGTCAGTTCGGGGGTTCTGATCTACAGCCTTACATCCTCTTTGCTCATCTCTGATCTGTCATGGTTCTAACTCTAAGTAGGACAAAAATGACCACATTTCTCTCCTATGGTTGGCACTCCCTGTGCAAGCACTTTGGAAAGATGAGGAAGCCCTGGAAAAGCGGGTAATTAGGTGCTAAGAGCAGGATATACACAACTGAAAGCTTAAAATTAAGAACATCACAGTTTTAACAAGAAAAGGTGCAACCAAAGTGCAAGGCCCCATGACACAAGTGAGAGAAGTTGCTCCTCTCCTGGCAGTGCTGTTACTGTGCAGTTATGACAGAGAGAAAAAGTGAGATAAGAGGTGTGAGATGATTATATTACTTAATCCTGATTATTAAATACTGAACATATTTTCTTTAGAGTCCAAAAGGAGATGAGACAGAGTAAGAATGAGGGTAGAGGGTACCCACACTGTCATGTTCTGTAGAGTGAAATTGAAAAGTTGTATCCATTTCTGTTTCTGGATTCTTCCATACTCTTCATTTACTATCTAGTTTTTACTTCCCTCGAGTCAAACTCTGGATCACTCACCAACTAGCAGCTGCCACCTGGCTTTGGTTAGCTTGCTAGCCCTCCTCTTCCAGGAAGTTCTCTTCACAAAAATCTATTCTCATGCTGGGAAGGAAGTGTCTAGGAAACCCCACAGGAGGCCTCAGCCCTCCTCCCCCACTCCCGCCATCACTTTCAGTTTCTGACTTCTTGTCAAATGAAGAAAAATCCAGGGCAGGGACACAAGTCTGTGCATGTATGGATGTTTATTAGGGACCTGACCAAGATCCCCAACTGCCTGTAGGAAGGGTACAGCAAAGGACAAAATAAAAAACAGACAAATTTAGTAATATATGATACAGGACTGGAAGATCAATGCCTCAGAATGGGCAAAGACTCAGATAACCCAAACCAGTCACTGTTTATTGGATGTGTGCAATGCAATGGGTATATTCAATGACACGTGGGGCCAGCAGAAGATTCCAGGTCAGCAGAAGATTCAAAGGTTGACACTATAGTCCACAGATAATCCTGAGGTGACTTAAGAGGGTGGAGCTGATCTTATGCTAAAATGGATCTTACTCTGGAGTGTTGTTCTTTTTCATCTTAGTAGCTTTAGTATATTCTTAGGGGATATAAGATGATGGCCCTTCCAAGAGTTAATGGGAAGTCTCAAAAGAGTGACTTTTTTAATCTATTTATCCTTTAGGGAAGTCTGCAAAATTTACCACTGTGAATTCATGATCCCCAATAAGTGTTGAGAGAAATCTACAGGCTCACGTGGACAAAAAAGGAGTATCATATTCATATTTCATTTTTCCCATGCTAACCTGTGTCTTTGTGAGTCACCAAAAATTTTTATACCAAATTTCATATATTGTTAGCAAAATGATTTTGATTTTTCTAGTTTATATTGCGCATGTGTAATATGATTCATGTGTATACACATGAAAACAGAACAATTCCAATAGTAACTGAAATTAAAGTCTCTGAGTTCAGACACTTACAGGTACATGAAAAAATGCAAGAAACTTACAGTGTCATGGAGTATGCATAAAACATTATCCTCAGAGCCAAACCTGCCACCATTTAAATACCCATAAAAACGGTTTTCAACTATGTACAAGTTCATTAATCAAAATATAAATTCCTCAAAGACCACTTTCTAATTGGGTATATTTAATTAGTGCAGGCTAAAGGAATTTAAGGAATCCTAGAAAATGTAATTTGCTATGAAAATATACCAAGTGAAATAACAAAAACCAACAGGTTTAGGATCATTTGTTTCTCTATATCATTTTCATCTTACTCTCTATTCTCTGCATCCATTTCTTTCACATCAAGAAGTCAAAAACTTACAGGAGAACAGACTACAGATAAGTTTTTTTGTGTGTAAGTCACGGGGGGTCATGCCAAAGTCAAAACTGTACTTACACAGGAGCTATGTGTTAGGATAACATAAAAGAGAACACATGAAGGTTCTGTTTTGTAGACTGGTGATGATTTTCAAGCTCCTGTCTTCAAAGATACGGAAATATAACTGGCCAATGTACCTTAAGAACACAAAGTACCGGCATTTAGGAGGCTGGCCTTCCCCAATCTAAGCTTTTGGGACTTGCTAAACTCTCTCACTTCTACCTCTGTTCATCCCTAGAACAGAGTAAAAACAAAGAAAAGGAACAAGTGTCTGGGACAACATCAGAGCCTCCCCTACAGTGAGGCACGGTGACACACACAGAAGACTAGGGCCAGCCTCCCAGGGGGAAATTGCCAGGCACACACAGCACCAAGAGCCCACCTACCCCAGATGCTTTCTTAAGACCACATCAAACCTCGTGATGCCAGCCTTGGAGACAGAACCCTGATGGCTGCTGGAGTTGCTGCAGTCATATTTCTACCTTCACAAGTCACAGGCAGGCATTGCACTCAAGGCTGGCACTACGACTTCTGCCCCAGCTCCTCCTACCCGGCCCTCGCCCACCCAGCGTCTGTAGCAGCCTGCTGCTACCCCAAGAACTCAATTTGCGGTGAGAGACAAGTTCCCACATCCTGTTGAAATGGGCCTGTTGCTCTCTCCAGCAGACTGGAACCCATCACAGCTCATTAACAATGAAGTAGCAATTCTGTTAGCCATCTCAGGATGAGTTCATGACTAGAGGTCAACAAAGAAGCTGCAGAAATCATTTTCTAACCACCATCTGTGTGATCAATCACAGTGAAATGAGTACACGCAGTCTGTCAGCCAGTTTAGCACATATATGGGGAGACCTGAGCCAGGCCTTAAGGGCGTGTTTGTTTGGGGGAGAGTGTTATTACTGAAGAAAGAAAATAAAATCAAATAAAAGCCCTGTTTTTACACTCACTAAGTGAATAATGCACACATGAAAGACAAATTATAACTCATAAGTACATAAACATTTAGACAGTGCTAAGGGGAATAAAAAGTTACCACAGTTTTTCTACCTAGAGTGAAACTCACCATCTACTATATTTGAGATGAGCTTTGGAAGCACTGTATTTTCAGCTGGCTTGCATTAACCCTAACTATACAAATAAAAGCAATTAAAAGTTTTATTATATAATTTCTGACAATAATGAGCTTTCACATCATTTCAAGGTTTTTTTAAAAATTTCCTTTTCAAAAGTTGCTAGATATAATAGATTAAATACTTTTACAGAGAAAAGATAGCTTTCCATTGTAGGTGTGTGTGTGTGTGTGTGTGTGTGTGTGTGTGTGTGTGCACTGACACATCCTCATACACCATGTGTTGAGAAGGAGTGTGGGAGCATATCTATTATTTTCTTTTATCTAGTCCAGGGGTGTCGAACCTACAGCATATGTGCCACACAGCTGGCTATTTGTATCATTGAAAGTTCTAAAAGGTTTTCCAAGGAATTAAGGCTGAAAACTGTAACTCTTTGTTTTTTTTTAATTTTTTTTAAAATTTTATTTAGAGAAAGACTAAATAAAACAAAATGGGTAAAAATAATACATACGTTCAGAGAAAAAATAAACAGTAAGAAATCACTAGTTAATACTGTAACTAGTTCATACTAGTTGTACTAGTTAATACTAGTAACTAGAAATCACTAGTTACATATTGTCGTTTTACAAATAGTTGTTCAAGATACAATACTGTAACTCTGAAAATTTTCAGTTGTTTGAATGTATAACACATTTCTCAGAGCCTGCTTCCGATCTCAAGGATCCGGAGTTTCCCCAGCCTGGGGAGAACTTTCTTCTCAGTTTGTTTGTTTGTCCCAAACTCTCATTATATTGTCCAAGGTAGCTTTAAACTTACAATCTTTCTACCTCTACCTTCCTAGTAGCTCTGATGACAGGCACGTGCCACTGTATCCAGCTTCTCCAGTCTTTCTGCTGCGCTTTCTGGTCAGTCTTTGGCAGAGTGGGTTCTGCTTGTCACCCCCATAGAATGTAGGTTCTGCCATGCAGAATGCCACCCTCACTTTCCTCCTTCTGTCTTTCATGTTTTGTGGCTCCTTTCTCAGGAACCTCGGACAGGTTCATGTGACCTCCGATGCTACTGAATCTGGGGCCACAATGTGGACTCAGTTCAGTGGAGGAATTAATGGTGTAAGAAAAACAAGCAATTCAGACTAAATCACGAGTAAATAATCATGAGCATAACAATGAAAAACTCACACACTCTAAAAATGTGTTAATACTTTTTCGAGAAACAATTTGTGTCACCTATTGTTACTCCTTTACTGTCTCCTTCATGCTTAAAGCATTACATGCAGTCAACTAAAGACACTTTCTTCTCCCTTCTCATGGACACTATCCAGGGAAGATCCCTGCAACATAGAAGTGAGTTTTCTCCTCTTGTGTAATTGCAAAATGACAAAAACCCCTCTTAAGATGGTAAAATCTAGCTTACAAAATATTGTAAGCACATTATTTACACAGACTTTACAGGGATTTTATTTTTGTTCTTTGAAACACATACTAAGAATTTTCAAAGGCACATAACTTTAAAAACTACTCTGAATTGTACAGGGAGAGCACTTTTATATCATTTCATTTCTGTGTCGTTACCTGTAGAGTTGAGAGTACATTCTGTTGTTTAAAAAAGTTATAAGTAGATTTTCTGCCTAGGTATTTATGATCGATAGAACTGTCTCAGGATTTCCTACCCTTAGCACAAGTGACATTTTGAAGCTTTTTTTCTTGTGGGGCTCCCATCTGTGTACTGTGGAATAGGATGCGAGGCACCGTCCTCAACCCTACCACAGCGTGCCAGTCCTGCCCCAATCCATGCTTGATGATGTCCATCAAAAATGCTTCCAACATTATATGCACTGGGGGGAAATCTACAGCCAAGACAAGGACCACTGGACTATTTAATAGCCAGGACATATTTCAAAGCATAAATACCACCACAATAAATCTAAACAAAGAAAAATCATGTTCCTAATGAAAGTGTGTAGATAAACTGTAACAAAAGGAAACATTTCCTGGGTAAGTACAATGTCTGGATGTCTGTCCTTCACGGTACCTCAACTTTTGTTTAAATATGTACTTGGTTAGTTTCATTGGGCGGATTGCTAAAATCAAAGAAGACTTTCTGGAATGGGGGGCTGTGAACTAATAATCCAAAAGAGGTGACAAAATGAATTTTGGTAGCAGCCACCTTTCCAGGGGCTGTGGCAAATATACAAGCTTGAACTAGTGAAGATATGCAGATCTGAACAAGAGGGAGACATATAGGGATTAAAGGAAATGGGTTTCTCTGAAAGGAGTTTCTACAGTTATTTCTGTATAATTACAGAGCAATGTATCTGCGTAGTTTGGGCTAAGCATTATATAGGCTCACGAAAGTGGAAATAATAACAAATTATTTCAAGTAATTTGAAATGAAATATTTGTTTTGCCTAAAATATTGTAATCTCTGGTATCTTTGAGATTATGAAATAAATACTTCTTAAGAATAAGAGGAAGTTCAATCTTTACATCACTAAGACTTTAACAAGGGACTCCAACTAATATACACCAAAATAAATCAGTTGGCAAGGGGAAAAAGCTGAGTTAAAATTATAAATGTTTAACAACTTGTGTGGCACAGGTACCAAACAATCAGAATGGTTGCCAATCATACATACAACTGTACTGGTATATGTCAACTGCATATCAGCCCTGGAGAAACAAGATACAGAGCAGGGGCTTCTGTTTGTGTAAAAATGAGAGTATTAGAAAGGATATATGTATCTGAGGATACACACACACATATACATACACATATATATTTGCATCTGCATTATTCATCCATCTACATAAGAAATTGGTAACAGTGGTTGTTTCTTGGGAGCGGACAGAAAAGTGTCAGTGTATCATCTATTGGATAAAACAGGTCAATTTTGCAGGCAAAAGCACTATTATCATCCCAGAACAAAAGGCATAATCTCATACTACACTAGTAAGTCAGGATATATGGTCAGCCCAGCACTAGAGTTCAGGGGTTGTAGAAGGCATATTTTTTTACATGGTCATACAATGAGACATTTCTCCTATCTTTTTTTTTTTTTTTCTTTAAAAAAAAATTTTAAGTCCTTGGAATGGAATACATAATCTATAGAGAAATCACAATACAAAAAAGGTTTATTTTAATCATTTTTATCTTTCTGTCATTACATGAAGGAAAAAATCTAGCTTTTCTTGATAAGGATAAACTTGGACGTTGAAAATTTTTTTTCTAATAAACTTCTTCTTAGTGGTGATGATCAAGCAAGCTCTAAAGCTAGCTAAGGAATCACTGTTTTTGATTAAATAGCCATGAAGCCCAGGCTGCTGATTTGCCTGTGGTTATATACCCTTTTCTGCTTTTTCAAAGGATCCTACAGAGGAACATTCTTTCCCTCTCAACTGCCAGAGAAAAAATGTAGAGTACAGGCAAACCAAACTCAAATACAGTGACTGTATTTAACTACCCGGGAGTATATTTATTTCGTTACTTTGCTTTAAAAGTAAGATAATGTTAGTACTTTGGTTTAAAAGTGAGACATAACGTTAGCGTTTGTAATTTCAAAATCTGATTTCATGGCAAAAATGTTTTGTGACTAGTGAAGAAACGATGATAGCAAGCAATCACAGGGTATATATTACATTTAATTCTTGTCCTAAGAACTTGACATGCATCCACTCATTTAGTCCTTACCAAACAAACAAAAACCCTGAGACACATAGGGTTATCATTCTCACTTTAAAGATGAAGGAAACCGAGCCACAGAGAAATGCAATAACTGTTAAATCATGTGACTAGTAAGTGGCACGCTTGCTGGGTCTGAATCTAAGCTGACAATGTCAGTGCCTATGATTTTAACCTGGACAGAGAGCCCCTTGGGTCTGGCATGGCAGTCGAGAGACAAAAGTTCCAATTCCAAACTGACAACTACCATATTTCCTAAACTAAAAAGCGGACTTAACTAAGATCTAACCATATGCTAGGATATTTCATGTTTTCTCCACAATGGGATCCGAAATGTGAAGCTGCCGTAGCACAGTAGGATTTCATTTCTTACCAATACAGTGAGAGAGGGAAGCTAGATGATTTTTAAGATTCTATTTGTGTTATAGAGCTAGGAAATCTTTCTATGTGCTGACACTTTAAAGCACTTTATCAATATGAGCTCGTTTAGCTTTCCGAAGTCTCATAGGCATTGTTGTTGTCAATATGCAGGCAGGCAAACTAATTTATGCTTCTTGCCCAAGTTTTAAAGGTTCAAACCGAGATTCCCTGGCTTTCAAATCTATGCTCTTAATCACTCCGCTCTGCAGTCCCTTGTGTAATAAATTTAGGATAAATTGTAGATCAAAAGTGTAGATTATAAAATATAGCAGGAGTCTAAAATCTACCAGAAAGACAGGCTTCCTTCCAGGTGGGGAGCAAATTTCCATTAGGCATTTGTTTGTTTCTTTATTTGTTTGATTCTGGGGCTTGGAACTAGGGCCTTGTGCTTGCTAAGCAAGCCTTCTACCACTGAGCTACACCCTCACCCCAGTATCTGATATTTCTTTATTCTTCTCATGCAGATGTTCAGAGGCTTCTGTATCATGACATCCTTGGAGGTTCTGGAAAGGACTCTCCATCCCCTGCTTCCTCCCCAGCACCCCAAATCTCCCTAGCTTTGCTCTTTTGCTGCCTGTCACCTTTAGGGATTGCTTAAGGATTTCAGAAAATCTCAGGGACAGAAAATGGTACAGGAAGGACAAGGTAGAAAGCAGAAATCTAGAGAGTAAGATATAAAACACAACCTGAAAGTTGCTGACTTTATTAAGGTTTCTTCTCCTGCCTAAGTCCTTCACCCAACTCTGCAAACACGTGCTCACGTGTGTGTTGGTAAGGAGATCAACTGAGAGCACCATTTCTTGCCTAACCACTGTGCAGAATATTTAGTTCAATGCCGACGTTTTTTTCTTAAACACACATCACAGTTTCAAAGGTGCTAGGCCAAAGAATAAGTCTTGTGGGAAGACCGAAGAGAATGAGCCAGTTTCTGGCCTTGGGAATTGTAGACAGATCTGATTTTGTCTTCCTATGAGTCTTTAATAGTTCTTTTTTCCCCCCCTAGTGGTACTAGACCTCAAAATTGAGCTACACCCCCAATAATATTTTTATAATTTTTTACTTTGAGACAGATTCTTGCTAAGTCTGCTCAAGTTAGGCTTGAATTTGTGATCTTCTTGTCTTGGCCTCTCAGTATGGGGGTGGGGTGGACAATCACTACCAGCTTATTACTTATAATTTCTAATAATAACAGTTTCCATATATTGAGCCCATACTAGGAGCCAAGCAGGAATTTTACAGGTTCCATTTCTAATACACATGGTAGTTCTAGTAGCGATTTGTCATTTTTTTTTTTTTAAATCGGTACCAGGGATTGAACTCACGACCACGCGCTTGCAAGGCAGGCACTTATGCCACTGAGCTAAATCCCCAGCCCCTTGTCATTACTTATTTATAGATGATACAACCGAAGCCCCAGTAATCTTAATGAACTAAAATTCAGACCAAATCCCCATGGTTTTTTTAATGGCACCCTCCTGCAGTTTCGGCCCCAATTGTCTTTACAACAGTTGTAAGAATGACACGAGACAACAACAATCAACCACATGTATTTACTCACTAAGTGGTGGTTCTAATGAACACTAGAGAACAATGTTGCGGATGGTAAGGAAAAGTCAGGAGCAGGACACAAACCTTCCCAGCCGCACAGGACCTCATGTAGTGGTATTTGAGTGGAGTCTTGAAAGATAAAATGTGTTTAGCGCGTGGCAACAATCAGTGAAAGGTGAGACACAGACATTTTCTTGGTGAAATTTAAAGCACGAGAAGGGAAATTGTGGCAGCCACATGTGTATATTTGGTGACTACTTTTAAAGTCTCAATTTTTCCCATATTTCTGAAAAAATAAGACAATTACAACTCCCTGCTGTTGAGAGAATAAAACAAATGTACCACTAATTTTCCCAGATTAAATGGATCATAACCTCTAAGGAAGCCAAATACTGTATATCTTTGCTGTGTAATACTCTCATTCTAGACGAGGAGGCAGCAGAAACTATGTAGCAGGACTTCATGAAATGAGTAAGAGAATCATTGCAAAAGATATGAGCCAGTAGAAAAAAAAGGGGCCCTGAAATGACTTTCCAATTGGTCCTTTGTGTCTCCATGTCCCCTCCACTATGTGCCTCCAGACAGGATCACTTCTGGAAATGAGCACACTCTGGCTGCCAGTCCTGATGCAGTTGAATCATTAACACTCAACTTTGCTAAGTAACTAGAAAACCCACTCTATTACTCACTCATACAAAGGAAGCAGTTGTCATATGTGTCCCCCTGACAACAAACAGACCTAACATGTGGATAAGAACCAGAAAACTCCTGAAAACCACAGAGATGGTAAACACGGCCATGCTGTATAACACCCGCGCCTGAATTTACAGAAGGGCTCTACCTTCATTTTTTCAGAATAACTTTCTATTTAAGAGTCTCGATTTGTAAAAGATAAAAGAACTCATTTGCTAGTAACTTCTATATTTTTTCAAATTTAAAAAAGACAGATAAATGTCAAGTCAGAGGAAATCCAACATGATAGCTAGAGAAACAGTGAAAGAGAAAAGGAAGGTGTTATTTAAGCAGAAACGAGCAAACCACTCTGAAATGACAAAAAAAAAAAAAAAGTATATGCACAGAACCTCCCCTTTCAAGAAACTCTCACAACTTGTTTTGCCATAGAGGAACTTAAATGTTACAATATCTTGGTAACCAATCAGCAAAGTTGCGGACCTCAAAGCAGGAAGCCCTTTAAGATATAGTATGTTGAACTGTGCAAGTGAGACTTCTGGTTCTCAGCTGGTTTTTGTTCCCTATGCTTGTAGGAGGGAAAAGCAGATGTGAAGTCCCTCATGGCGAAGTTCAACTCTGGGAGCAACCCGACAGAGGAGGTCGTGGGCAATCACCGGCCCTTCAAAGTCACAACACAAAACTCACCTTCAGGAATACAAGCAAGAAAGAACTTATTTGACAACCAGGGAAATGTCACCCCTCCTGCAGGACCCAGCAACGTGCCCAAGTTTGGAACTTCAAAGCCACCTTTGGCAGTGAAACCTACTTTTGAGGAAAAACCCGATAAGGAGCCCAAACCTCCTTTTTCAAAGCCTACTGGAGTGGGCCAAACATTCGGAACACCAGCAAACTCTACCACCAGAGACCCTGATATAAAAGTGGGATTTCCAAAACCTGGAGGCCTCAAGCCCATAAATTTGCCCAAAGAAGATTCCAAACCTGTGTTTCCCAGGGCTCCTGGGAATAAGCCATCACTACACAGTATGAACCAAGACCAAGATGTAAAGACGCCAGGCCCAAAGCCTGGGCCTACTCCTCCAGCCCTGGAAAATGAACAGAGGCAAGCATTCCCCAAGTTGGCTGGGCCTAAAGGCAAGTTCATGTCAGCCACACAAGATCATGATGCTAAACCCCTCTTCCCTAAACCCCTCATTGGCCAGAAGCCAGCCCTGAGCACTGAGAACTCCTATGAAGATGAGAGCCTCACTAAGAATGCATTTGCCCAGAAAGGATCTCCTACACCCCTGGGAGCCTGGTCCAAAGGAGGTGCTTTAAAACCAACAAAGGAGGACCCTGAAAATAAGGGCCATGGAGGTGATACATCAAGTTCTCCATTTGCGGGAGTGGTTTTGAAATCTGCTGGAAGCCGAGGAAGCCCAGGCCTCCCAAGAAATGGTAAAGAAAATAAAGAACATAGGAAGATAGATGCTGCTAAAAACATCTTCCTCGCCAAAATGAATCAAGAGGAGTCAACCCCGGGGACTACTCCCACCAAATTCCCTAGAGCTCCTTCCAAGTTGACAGTGGGGGGTCCCTGGGGCCAAAATCAAGAGAAAGAAAAGGAAGACAAAAGTCTAGCAGTCCCAAAGCAGAAACCATTGCCTCCTTTGTCTACCTTGGGTCCACCTCCACCAAAACCCAGCAGACCACCCCATGTTGACCTGACGAAATTCCGAAAAGCTGATTCTGCAAACAGTGAGTTGTTTTTTCATTGCTAAACAGTATGGCTTTTCTGCAACAGGAGGTGCTTTAGCTTCTGGGGAAAAGATTGTAACATAACTGGTACTTGTGTGCATACGTGATGAATTTTCTTTGGCATTTCTTTCTTTTGTGTGGGAGGTCTGAGAAAGTAGAAAGTCTGAGTCCTACGTAAGCATTCTATGAGAAAATTCCTTGGTGGCTGGGTTTTCAGGAGAGGGAGTAGAACGAGATCCATTTGATTGATAAATGCTTTGGCTTAATGGTAACCATTGCATTTACTTCCTCAGTTGGATTTCATTTTATTTCTGTTGAGAGAGACTGAGGTACATTATTCCTGCTACCAGAAATGAGATAGAGAGTGAGCAAACTTCTAAGTAAGCTGTTTCTGGAGAGGGGCAACTGGGATGGCCAGGGACATTTGGCAATGTGTGGAGGCATGTTTGTCAGCATTGAGGACACTCTTGCTCTCAGTGAGTAAAGGACAAGATGCTGATAAACATCCTACTCTTCCCAGGAAAGCCCCTCTGCAAAGAATCACCCAGGCCAAAACATGAATAGTACAAGAAAGAAAGAACTTCTTCTAAATCATTTCAAATAATCTCCACACTCATGTTTCCTAAGCCCAACACGCTAATAAGAGAGGAAAAGGACTCTAAGAGATGATGTTTTGTTTCATATTTTAGATTTTTAAATTTTTCAGTATGAAGTTTTCTGAGCTTATTTGTAAGTATTGCACAGCTAGAAAAATAAGGCAGACAAAGAAGTGCATTCATCTCCTTCTGAGTAAACAGTTTACTTTTCTACCAGGGATGTCACTGCAGTATTTTGGAATATGATATTGAATGTCTGGGTAAAGATCTGTAACCCCACATCATGAAGAAAAAGCTTACACGTGTCTGAGATGATTCATATTTTTTGCAAAGGATGTGCAACTGGTGTTTAATGTAAGAAGGGAAAAAAGTGTGCTCACAAGTGACTGTACTTCTATTAGTCAGACATTTCTCTTTACAGAATTATAGTTTAATTTAAAGCAGTCCTAGACCTAACAGCTGTTTTTCATTTTTGCACTATGGAACATCTTCATTGTGTCATTTTCCTAAGATCAGTGTAACTTTTGTTCATGGATAGTGAGCACATTCTCCATTAATCCTGTCACGTAGAAAGCAAGCTTAGAAAGACCCCCGATTATCTTCCTCCTAGAAAGATTCAGCCTCGTGTCAGTTTCTGATCTCTCATCTTGTTCCAATAGTGATTCATAACTCAAAACTGTTATATATGTGAGAACCTCTAACTGACCCTTCAATTGTTCTGTATCGCAGATTTTGAAAAATTACCATCCCACCCTCCATTTTACGGCTCTGAGTTCATGCCAGGGAAATGATTTTGATGTTAAGCAACGCCTTTGGAAGTTTTCTTCCACACCCTCCATCTGCGTTTCAGCTCCTCTTCCGCAATTGCGTGGTGGTAGCACACTGTTTTTGCAGGAGTCTCCACAAACATAAATGTTCAGAAAGTCCTCTTGGTGGCTCTGCAGGCCTGACCAGGTCAGCACTAAATGATCACCAGTGCAATAGAGGGACAAAGAGCCAGGCCAAGCTACCTTTTCTCCAACCTTCCCTCCCTGAATCCCAGTTGCCCATGATGCAGCCTCTCTTTCTCTCTCTCTCTCTCTCTCTCTCTCTCTTCCTGCAGTCTCTATTTTAAATCCTTTCATCACTGTTACCTTCTAAACTTCCGATCCCTATTATGATCCAAAATGTAGGCTCTTGCCTCATCACCTACCTCTTTCACAAATCGCAAGTCAGTGCCTCTTTATGTAAATTGATCTCAACTTGGTGTCAAGATGAAGAAATCTGAAACATAACTCTACGTCCTGAATAATAAACACCCTTTTAAAGCACTTATCTTTTTCTAAAATAATTTAAATGTTGTTTACATTTTTAAACAGAAATTGCATTCTGGTTCAAAAAATAACAGGTATAAGATGGTATGCAGTAGACTAAAAGTCATAGTTAATACTTATCTACTGTTTACTGATTTTCACAGATCTTATTCCACGGAAATAGTTCTTCTTAGTACCTTACATGTCTGTACAAAGTTTCTTTTATTTTTTCAGAAGAAAATATAAATATAGGTACTAGCCCTCCAGCTTTATACTCAAAAAGTAGAATACTATATGCAATGCTTTTTTGCTTTTGTGTGTGTGTGGGGTGGTAATGGGGATTGAACCTAGGACCTCGTGTACACTGAACATGTGCTCTACCAGATCTATATCTTCAGCTCTCTAGCTTAAGAAAAATAAATGTGTACTTTCCCACAATTTAGCAAAGAACAACTGAGTTTCCTTCAGAGCTGCATATACTCTGATAAGTGAATGACTACTCTAATTGATTTAACAATTCATGTTGTTTCTTAGCATTACGTGTTACAAAAAATACTGTAGAAAATAAATTTATACATGTATCATAAAATTATACATTTATTTTCTGAACATAGAATGTTCCTTAATAGTCAGGTCTGCAAACTCCTAATCCTTCCACTGATAATTTTCCTAAACTGTGTCAGAAATACCAGGAAATTTAGCTTTCCTTTTAAGGAGTTAAAAACGTCAGAATTCACAAATGTTATGTTTATGTTACACAATACCTAGATAGCAAGCTGAATGGAAAATAATTAAATTTCTTTTGTAGCAAAAGAAAAAGTCCTAGATTCAATTACTTACCATTCCACAATAAACAAATAGAAAATTTTAAAAATATAGTATCGTAATTATACAATGTGTTGTATGTGCAATCTTTAGAAAGCAAAGATACTTTAAGGGTCCATTAAGAGTAATCGTCTTTTTTTTATACATGAGGATTGAGGCTGGAACCTGTCACTTATCCAACATCATACATGCAGGATAAATACCTAGTTCTTCATATTCCCCTTTCAGTTCTTTTTTTACATACTGTCCTACTTCTGTAGAATGTATGTGCTTACATGTCTATGTTTGGTGTGGGTAAATATTTACTTATATGGAATGTATATTATCACAAGTATGCAAGGTTTTAACTTTTATCAAAGGAATCTCAATGTTATGTTTTTAAATATTTGTAATTTCCTGTGAAATAGAGTAGTTTTAGGGAATTAACTTTAAACCAAAGTGCATGGTGTTTAGGTTAATAATCTTTAATGATATTAATGGTAACAGTTGTTTGTCATGTGATATATACTTCAGAATCAGTGGACTTGGATTTTTAGTACTACTTATTTTTTTCTTTAGGCTTTTCACTTTAGGCAAGTTATATTTTCTCTTTCAGTCTGAAATAGTAGAATATTTTATGGGCACGATATATGGATTAAATAAGATTATGTTTAATGTGCTTCACCCTAATTGGTGCACAGTAATAAAAAGTAAGTAAACACTCTCTATAATTTTATTACTTTCATTTGTTAACTTTAAATTTTTATTTCCAGGCATGTTGTATTTCGATCATTTTGCACTGTAATAACCACTCTGAGAATCATAAACTGCAATTTACATACTTGACACGTCAACTTGCTGGTGATTTTTGTAAAAATTATGCTGAAGAAATAAATAATAATTGCTGGAAAAGAGATTTGCTGCAGGAAGTCCCTGAAAGGTTTTCTATCACACATCCTCTTCCCTGTTAACATGAGGGACAGGAACTGACATCTGAGAAGCACCAAAAGCAGCCACCCAGATTCTGCCATGTACTCTCAGTGAGGCCAGGAGAAGGCATCTGCTTCTCCAGAGGTAGAAATACACTGCAAGGCCAGGGCCAGTGGCTGTTACCAACACTGCTACCAACAAGGGCAGTTTTCAAGGTCATCGCTTCCAAGGAGCATTGCCTTTGCCATTACCTGTCAGCTTGGCAATAAAATAAATTGGCTCAGTTTACTGTGGATCAAGAAGAGCCACTGATGCCAGGGAAAGATTTTTCTGGGTGTGCCACTGCAGACCCTTAATTTTCTGACATTGGAGTCTTTTTCTCTAACTCTAACAAGTGCATGCCCTAAACATACCTGGCTGTGCATGAATTTTCGTATGTCAGAACTTCAAGACAAATTACTTACTGCATGGTATAATTAGAAAATATATTCATTTGCTTGCAGTATGATGGGAAAGAAAGATTATATTTTTTAGAAAAAACTAATCTCTTACCAAATGCTTCTACGGGAGGCTTATTTAATTCACTGAGAGTTAATAGCTACTAACTGAAGTAAAAATGCTTTAATAGTGAGTATAAAGATTTACTCCAAGAAGATTTTTGTTGTTAAAAATAGTTATATTCGTATTAAATCTAATTAAATCATTTAACTTTGTAGAGTTTCAAAACTATTATTATTTGCTCAGCTTTCTGCCTCATTTCTTCTTTTCTAATTTCACATCCAGTTCCTTAAACCTCCAGACAAATATATTATTTATGAAAACGTACATGTACCATCTTGTCCAATAGATCCACCTTTAACAATAGTCATCATTTTGGGGGAAACTGTTTTATATCAAATGCATGTTACCCCAATTATTCATTCTAAGTTGTAAAATGGAATTCTGTAAGGAAGCCAAAGCTCAGAAAGCTTAGGGAATTTGTCCAAAACGGTAGCTAACTAAGCAGAGCCAGGGCTGATCCTGGCATCTCTCAGATTGTAGAGCCTGTGACCCCAACTCTCCCCCATGCTGGGCCCTCTCTGGAAACACAACTATCATGAGATAATACATCAAGCATATATTATACCTCAAGAATCCTTGTTCTCCCTTCCTCTAGTTTTTGGTTGAAACATGTCTGTCTCTAATTTTTAAATTATACACAACCCTGTGACACTTGAGTATCCACTACTGCTTACTATTGTTTCATATGGAGCACAGAAATCACATAATTTTTTGATATTTCCTTAGGCTTTTCCTTCCACAAATCTTTAATCAGAATTTGGTTGTACCCAGATTTTTCAGTAATAAATTTTAATATTGTCTATAATTTAGTAACTAT